AAGGAAAAACTTTTAGCATTAAAGTGTTCTTTTTTGTTTTTGACAATATTTCACAAACGTCATTTCACAAACATAACTCGGGACCGTCGGTTATAAAATACTTCCAATTACTATACTTGTTTCGTTTTTTATTTATTTTATTTTATTGAATAATAACGCAATCTACCCCATTAAGGATAAATACGTATTATGGCAACAAGTGTTCATTTTTCACAATGTATACACATAAGCCAATAAATATAAATATTTTTTAAAAAATGAAATAATATAAAGTGAAAGAAGAAATAAATAAATAAGTAAAACTAAAGTAAATCTTTTGAAACACCTTCATACTTATGAACGATTCTTGCTCTCAGATAATTAAATGATTTCACTGTTAAGAATAAAAAATTCTCAGGAGATAAATAATCAACAATCATTTTTTAGATTTCTTTGAATAAATAAAAAAATCTCAAAATGACTTCTACCTGATTATTTATCTTCTGTGTTAAGTAATACAGTCAACTAACTTCCTTACAATGATTCATAAAAAATTCTAAACTTTAAATGTTGTTATCATACAATTAAATAATGAATACACACCGTATTTTCAATTTCCAAAAGATTATATAATATTTACTACTGGCGAGTATCTGCAATAGTGAGCTTTTTTTCAATGAAATAAATAAGAGCTTTCTGAGGTAAAGCCACTTGAATTTACTCTATCAACTACCTAAAAAGATATAACACAATTCACCAAAAAAGATTTCGAGGTCCCCAAAAAAGTAAAAGCTCTCAATAAAATCTTCTAAGGAGGAAACAAAGGCAATAAAACTCAAATCCGTAGTCCAAAGGCAAATATCAAAAGATATCTTAAGTGGATTTTAGTACTTTTTTAAAATTTATTTTCAGGTTCAGTCCTCTAGAGATTATTTATTTTTATTTTTTGTGCGTTCTTTGCAGATCTCTCGGCTCAAATACTGACCCTATAAATGAAACTAATATAATTAAATATATATTCTTATTATTTATATAAATATATATATATTAATATATATATATATATATATATATATATATATATATATATATATTCTTTTTTGTATTAATACTATTTTTAGTCTTTAGTTTTAGTAACCTAAAGCAAACCCTAAATTTCTTTTACAGGATTTTATTTAATAACTTTCTATTATTAAAATAATATTTATGTGGTAGTACATGTGTATGTTTCTATAATGATAAACCTTTTCATTTCTTTTTCCTTCTGCTTTTTTAATTTTGAAGATGAAAAAATATAATGATCTGAAAAATCTGTTTATAATATTATAATTATGTCTCGTTCAATTTAATGAAAAACTTCGTAACTTTAGCTATCCCATGGGATCTCCAATCGCTCTAATTTTTGCGAATATTTATTTAGAGAACTGTTAGATTAGGTTATTCCATAAATCCTGTTTAAAATTGTATTTTTATTGGTATCTGTTGACGATATAATAGTTATCTTCTTCCCTTCCCCGATCAAAATTTATTCTATTGATCTGGAATCTAAAAGGAACAAAAGAGATATAATGATTACATTATAATTGAAATAATAACGAGAAATTTAGAAACCAAAAATTGAGATCATAACTAAAATAGGGAACTAGGCCTTGAGTATTATACCCACATCATCATTAATAAAAATAAGATTGAATTTTCTTCTTGTAGTATTAGTGATTAGTTTCTTTAGAGTAATAATGTAGAAAACCAGAAATTTGAGCTATGGAGCCTCAGAGATAAATAAAAATCACAAATAGTCATAATACAAAACTATAAGTTGCTTTCTATATTAAGAAAAATTAAATGATATAAATTAAGACAAAAAAAATTAAAAATATAAAGTAAAATAATTAAGAACTATCTAATATTTTATATACATATTTACAGTAACGTCTATTTACAATTTTCTATATGTATATTATTAAGGCTTTGCTATAATGACACCAAAACATTTCAGATTTTTCCTCCATCATTAGAAATGGCCGAGATATGAGCATATGAAATTTCTTATTTGCCGCCATTTTGAAACAAAATGGGCCACGGTGTTGTTCAGTCCGTTTTAAATTAGTTTTTAGTTTCATTTAATTGTAGTCTTAATTTGAAAACAATAGTCTGATTAACAAACGGCGGATTAATTTTAATTCAATTTATATTTAGTTTTTAGATTCGGCATATCATGAAAGATAAAACCTCAAATTTTGAGTGTTTTTTTTTCTTCATCTATTAAAAAACGGTATGGGAAACAATTAACAGATTTTTTAAATTTTTTGAATAAGTCATTTATAATTTAATTGTATATTTAGTATTTGACGTTTTAATCAACTCCAATTGAAAGTCTTCACAAACAAATGAATATTATTATTGTTAAATAAGAAGAATCATTAGAGAAAAAAAAATTAAATAGGGTCAGCACAACATTAACCATGACATTTAAACCGGAGACCAGTTCTCTGGAGATATGAACAGGTTCGATGAAACTTGTCGGCTTACTCATCGGTACATGCTGTACAGTACGGCCGAGAAGAAGTGGATTCCGTCGAAACCTCGGGTCATCGCCTTTCCCCGCAATAGAAACGGAGCTCTGGGATCTTACTTGCAGTTTCTTACTTTCACGGGGGCTATCTTCTCTGTAGAACTGAAACCTGGAGAAAGCAAATCATTTCGGTCGGTCATACAGCAATGTACAGGTGTGTAGCAAATTGTTTCTGGGCCATTACTAAAACAATGGCATGAGGTCACAGTTAGGTATGAATCCTTAGAAATCTGATTTTTACAAACAGATTTTAAAAAGAAAAACGAGGAGTACCCGTACCTCCAAGATCGATGGCGCATGAACTTCCCTCTCCCCTTCCAAGAAATGTTATTGCTCTCTTTTTCCAAAATTATGGAAGCGAAAGTAGAAGTAGAAAATTTTGTAGTTCATATTCAATTACCCTTCCTGCGGTCTGTTCCAGGTTTTTTTTATCTCGTTCTCTGGTTTGAAAGTTCTTCCCGAATTAAAACTCCCTAAAAATACAGTTCCCTCCAAATATTCATAACTCATCACAATTTCCCTCATAAAATTATCAAAATCCCGTAAAAAAGTGTCCCTTTCAAAAATGCTGATGGCGTACCTTACCACCCCTTATTGGTCAGCCCTGGGAAGAACGATTATGTATCCTTCTTATGTAAACATTCATTTTAGTTTTGCTTAAACAATTTCACCATTTACTTTACGTATTTATAAACATCATTCTGATTAATAAGACAGTAGATCTGTCATGCGCATCTAATTCTTCTGTTCTTACATTAGGATCGTGGCAACTCAAATCAAAGAAGCGACTGTGAACCTATATCCCGAGAATTAGGGTTCGAGTATAGGGATGTGGTAAATAATTTTTGTATACTTTATATATACTGGGACACTCCGATCCAACGCAGTTCCTAAGGGAAAAACGATAAATCCTCGCGTTTTTCTCTCAACCACTTCACTATTATTAAATAGAAATTAATAGCAGATTACTGTTCCACAAAACAAAAAAATCTATAATGAACATTCAATAATATTTTGCAACAACGGGCTTTAAATTTCAAAATAAAACAATATTTATTCGGCGATGTTCGCAAAACATTTCACAACGTAAGTAAGATTAAAAATGTCGAATCATTTATTCAAGACTAATCTTTGAGTCACGGCGCGTCGGATAAAAGGCTTCATCAGCAAAAGACATGGTAATTTAGTTGACATTTTGACATTTGGTAGCAATTAAGGACAGATGTTGCTTTGCCAATCTCGACCGAGGGTGGGGAGAGAGGTTTCATTGTCAATTAATGAAAGGGAAATGGGCATGAGGTAGACCAGATCCAACAAAGGCACTTGTGGCTAAAATTAATCACCTTGATGGTAATATCTCAAAATAATGCCAATAAATAATAATAACTAAATAAATAAATAATAGTAATTAAATAAAACCACGTCCTACTATAATTTGTTAGCGAAAATACTATAACTCACTCTTTTGCCTTTTTCTTGGACTTCTTAAGTCTAATGAGAGCTGAACCAAGGGATCAGAAACTTATTAAATTAAAATATATTTCAGCATGTATATTGATAAAGTGACTTAATACTGACCATTGATTTAAGTTCAATGTAGCTGGCAAAAAATGAGTGGCTTATGTGCCCTACATCATTCAAAACTCGTAGCGCGTCGTCGTTTCTGACAACCTTAGAAGCGGTTTGAAGTATCGATCATTCGAGGCATCGAATCGTTTCTATACAACTATCAGTAAGCAATAAAATCATTCAGAAATAAGTGAATAATATAGACTGGATCTGGAGACGGTTTAATAGTAACTAACATTATGTAAGCTGAGGTAAAAATAAATGAAAAGATAATATAAAAATAGAAAAAAAATATGATTTTTCATTACCTAATGGCAAACGCTATAAGCTGTGAATTAATTATAAAAGGCGTATTTACATTACTATAATTCCAAATGGACTTTCGGAGTTGAGCTTTGGGACTTCACCAAACCATCGAATCCCTCTCTTATACAATCTTTACAATCCAAAATCGTCCGTAAAATTCTCTTCGTAAAAAGACTTTATATTTTGTTACAAATAAAATAATTGAGACGTTCTAATCCATATGTCGCCAACTTGGTCTAATCCAGATATCCATCCTTTCATTATAAACTCCAAAGCCACTTGTTTGCAACATATTTCCTCCCCAATTTCAGATAATCTTCCTAGGCGCTTGGAAAAAAGATCTTCTAAATTAGAACTACTTAGGATATGCTACCATTCTCGACAATTATGTTCACGTCATTATTTGTATTATGTTCATATTTAATAGTTGCAAACCGATAATAGCGAAAGTTGGAATGATAAATTATAGCAAGCGGACCTTTGCTAGCTATTGACACATTGTCGACGACTCTAAACGATTATATCACTCGCATGCTGCTCATAAATCGTTGACATCTTGAAGAAAAACCGCAAGATGTCATCTCGAACCGGTGGAAGAGGCATTAGAAAGTTTGAAAGTGCGTTTTTGCAGCGGCCTATGGTCCCAGACGAGGTTCCAGGTGATATATCACAAGTTAATGGAGCCCGTCTCCCCGAGGGCTGGTGTAACCCAGAGCTGGAGGAAGAAGGTTAATGGGCCGGCCACTGTGGGCCCAACTAGCAACTAATGCGCTTTTGTTACACTAATATTAGCAAACGCCGATGCAACTTCTCAAAAATGCTGCAATATCTCATTGGCAGTAGGAAAAAAAAATCTAGTAGTAAAAACTCAACAATAATAGACCGCGTTACAGACCACTTTTTATAAAATTATTAAGAACCGTTTAAAACTTTTTTATATCCGAAAATTATAGGAAATGGTACGATTTCAATCTGGAGATCGGTAAATTTTATTTATTTAATGAAGTACAAAAAATTCATGTACATCCATTTTCTTTCCACTTGAATCGTAAGATAATTTGATCACAAAATCGAGAAAAAAATGGCCTACAAAGATATTGGGCAGTTTGACGTGACTTCCAACCCCAACATGTCGAAATAGCGAGGTTTTGTTTGGTTTATAAAACCTCTCCACCCCCCCCTCCATATGCCAAAATAACTAGGTTATATAGGTCAAACGGCCCAATATTTTCGTAGATCCCTTTTTTCTCCAGTTTGTGGTCAAATTATCTTACTAAATTATCTACTTGTGGCTAAATTAATCAGTTGAAAAGTAAAGGGGTATTCATGTGATTTTAGTACCTCGTTAAATTAATTAATTTAATGAGAAACCGTCCCATTTCTAAGAATTTTCGTAGATAAAAAAGTTGTAGGCTAAATAAGATGAAGCCGTCTCTTTACTTTCGTTTCATGAGATATTAATTGATCAGTTTCTGTAAACGGTTATATATCGGTCTTTTTCTTCCTTTGGAACATAGATCGCTCCGTTTAAAACACTAAGAATTTTCTTCTAAAGACTTTCAATAGTTCTTTCAATGGTGCTGATTAATTTATGTCTCGCAGCAGTATATCAGAACTGGCTTTATCATTTTATTTTACGCCCATGATCTTGAAATTTCTAGAGATTTTTGGGGATATCAGTACCTTCGAAAGAGAGGGAAAAGGTCTTATAGCGCTTATTATACGCTGTTCTGTTAGTGAATTAAAAGTTCTTGTGGAGTCGAAGTATTTGAATATATGTTTTATCGGCAACGAATTCCCTTCTAACCAGATCGTGTTATTGGGATGTACTTTCCGTCTACTATAATAAATTTTCTTTTATCTTCATTTATTTGTAAACCGATGATTTGTGCAACAATTTTTGCGATAATCTTAACATTAAGATTCTCGCAAAAATTGTTCTTCGAAGTAATCTAGAATATATATTCTTGATTACTTCGAAGAGCAGCTATATCAACTGTATATTTATGTATATTAAGATTATTAACAACGTACAACCCTCCATTTTCATGTGATGTTCTTATAAGCTTAATAAAAAAAAAAATAGAATTTAAATTTTTAACTGTGGGTTGATGGTTGACTGTAGTGAATAATTGAAGAGAAGGATGGTTGGGATGATCAGTCAAAATAAAATAGTAAAAATAAATAATTGTATTTATTTTAACATTAATAATACTGGTTCATGTGAAAATAAATATAATTATTTATTTCCTCTTTGAAATAAAATTTTATTATAAATATAAATATCCAAGTTTGTCATGCTCGGAATTTGCTTTATACAGCATTTTTTGCAATAAGCAAATCTGTACCATTGCGGGCAAGGGTAATATTAGAAAGTCTCTTGGCCACCGCTTTAAAAGTCGTCAGGGTGGGCTGTACGGGTTCAAGGTGAAATTAAGTGTTTCGGCTAATAGGGTCATGTTTTAAGTTAGTCTCAGGTGGAAGTTTTTATATTATTGTGAAGCAAAGTCATTCTTATATTATTTGATCATTTGACGTCCCCAGACTTTACATCCGTTTTTCACATATTTTCTAAGGTTGAAAAAAAAAATGATGGTATTATTTTTTTTTTGTATTGCTTCTAAGGAATGGAATGGTCAAACTAAAATAAATTTACCTCAATCCAAAAAGAAATATCTCAACGTGAATGTAAAAGAACGTAACGAATGTTACTGTCCCCAAGCTGAGGATGCGAAGTTCTTCATGCTTTGATTTGACATAATCTGTATCCATTAATTTTTAACCAATGGGGATTTTTACTTTTATATAATGGTATTTCGAATTATAGATACATTCTTTAGTTGTCTCAAATACTTTGATTGTAAAGTAGGAAAATCGGTTTGTCCCCAAAATTTGGAGGAAAAATTCGTAACGAAGGTTACCGGCTTTTCTTATAATACTGTTCATTTAACATGGACGGAAAATGGTTTGTGGTGCCAACTATCAGTCCATGTGTAATCTACGTGCATAAAAGAGCTGACTGGAGACTATACATTATTTCTTTCAAAATATGCTATGTCACAAAAATTATACGTAACGAATGTTACCATAATTTTACTTAACATTGTTCAATTAACATAATGGATGATACTTTCAAAATAAGTAGTTTCGAGGCATTTGTTTCGTGTTAAGGTTTCATATTTATCCAACATTTAGTTAAATCAGTTACAGCGATTTCGTATGAAAACGTAACAAATGTTACAATTATTCGTATAAATTTTTTATCATTAATTTTAATTGTTCCCAGTAACAATTATTCATATCATTATTTTTATTATAAAAATTTAGAGAACAGGAGCAGAATTTTAGTTGTTTTTCTTATAGACACTCATGAAAGAAGTGAAAATCATCATTTTTTTAAATAACATTATCTCATTTTAACATGAAATATTTATGGTCTATTATTATAATTATAGCCATTATATATTTTCAATATAATAATGAAGTTTGTTTATTTAAACTGTTTGAAGAAAAACATCCTCGTTTAATAAGCTTTAAGTCCATATTTATTAAGTTATGGTTTAAAAATCATTAACAATTAAAAAAAGAAAAACGAAAACTTACAATTGAAGCTCAAGTTTGTAATCTAGGAAATCTACACTAATATTTGAAATCAAATTTTCTTCAAAAAGTTGATATTCTTTTAAACTCGAATTACTAGATTCAGAAATGTTAAATAGTCAAAGGTTTTAAGGTTCAATTCCTGGGGTAACAAGTCATTTATTATATAAAACGGTGCGTCTGCAATATTTTCCAAAACTTAGATTGAAAATTTTGAATTCTGAGGATGTTATAAGTTTTAGCGGTGCCTTATTGCTCTATCCAGGAGAATGCTCCGTATTCACAGGAGAGGCGACTACTATTATGAATGCTTTATATCTTATAAGCGAATCTAAAAGGAACCACTGGGTAATTGTGACGGACTCGTACAGCGTTTTAACTGCCATCGGTAACCTATATCCTAGAAACTCTATAATTAAGGAAATACTCAACATTTGGTGGGAGGTAAAAAATAAAGGAATAACAGATGTCTTGATATAGTTACCAGCTCATTGCGGAATTTTAGGGAATGAAAAAGCTAACAATGCAGCCCATTTAGCAAGAAGTGGAGGAGAAGAAGAGAAATGAGTAGATTGAAATATATCACTTAGGAAAATACAAACTGACGACGACCAATTCGTCAAAAAACTTATTTACAGAAATGAAACACAAATACCTCGGACACACAACACTTTACACAGATACGTCAAAAACAGATAGTGACGTAGGATGTGGAGTAATACTGAAAGACCAGTGCCTCAAATTCAATTAGTCCCAAATAAACAGCGTCTTCACATGCGAACTATTCGGGATATATCAGGCCTTGTTATTACTAACAGAAAAAAACATAAAAAATGGCCTTATAGTTACAGACTCTTTGAAAATCAAAAATTGCCTCTGGGAAATGAAGGAGTCGCCGGACAGAGACATCGTCCTCGCGTGGGCACCCTCTCATTGTGGCATACCTGGGAACGAAGCTGCAGACAGAGCTGCGAATCTGGCAAGAAGAAAAACTAATGGAACCACAATAATCAATTTAACGACCACTGCTGACTGGAGATTGGAATTCAAAAAAATGCTAAATGAAAAATGGCAATTCAAGTGGAACCGATCTACGAATAAATTACAAGAAATTAAAAAAGATACCAAACCGTGGACGACCTCTTTCAGAAAGAATAGAAAAGAAGAAACAATTTTAACTCGGCTTAGAATTGGACATGCAGCCTTTACCCACGGCTACCTAATGAGAGACCTGGAACCACCATTTTGTAAAACATGCAACACATCACTTACACTGAAACACATTGTAACAACTTGTAGACTATACTCTGACACCAGAACAAAACATAATATACCTTCCAACATATCTGAAGCACTCTCAGATGACGAAGAAAAGATACAAAAAGTGTTTGAATTTATAAAAGACATTAAATGTGTACACCTAATTTGATTATATCTAAAGCAGCTAATGACCCGATCGGGTAGATGCAGAATGTAACAATAAATAAAATAAAGTAAAAATATATCACTTTAGAAGACTGGGTATAGGAAACAAAGAAAAAACATCTGACAGAGTGGGAAAAAGAGTGGAGGATCAAAGAGTGTAAGCTAAAAGAAGTTAAACCTAATTGCGATAAATGGCTCACTAGCACCAGAAGTTCCAGGCGTGAAGAAATTATACTATGCCGCCTTAGGATTGGGCACTGCCAGTTCAAACATAGCTATCTTTTAAGAGACCTAGAAGCTCCTACTTGCGAAAAATGCAATAATACGCCCCAAACTGTGAAACACTTTCTGGTAGAATGTCCCCAATTCGAAACCACAGAAAAAAAATTGATCTAGGAAAAATACTAAATGATATTCTATAAGATAATGAAGAGCGAGCCTCTGTAGTGTTTAAAATCTTAAAGATCGCAAATTACTATAATAGAGTATAAATTATAGAAAACGCCAATGACCCTCTAGGGTAGAGGCGAGAAAAAGAGAAAAAAAAAATTGGAGCGTCTGTGAAGTAACCTGATTACAATCCGTTTGTTCAGTTGTTTTCTTTTCTGATTATTATGACTCCTCCGTGTAACACCTTGTCCAGGTGTCAGTTCTACACAGGAATGCACTCCTCATAAATAAAATAAAATTTCAAAAATCAAAATTATGAACATGAAAGCGTATTCCAAAAGTAAACCCTTTTATTTAAGAGGGTTCTTCCATTGTGATTTTAATACATTTTTAAAGAATGAAATTAGTGTGTAAAAACATACAATCTAATCATTTATTCATAATGTGTAGACTTCCAGATTAATTTGAAGAGGAGAAAACTATAAAGTCCTATTTTTTATTAATTTTGAACCTTATAATACAATATACATTGCTTTAGATCAGACTGTTAAAGACTCCAGTAAGGCTAAGACTTGAGAAGCCGGCCGCCCTTCGAGAAGAGCCCTGTTTCGTCAGAAGGGGAGCGATAATGATACGGTTATGAAAGACAGAGGACCTGTTGGTGGTGCAACCCTTCTCCCCTTTCTAATGGCCAGGTTCAGGGTCGCGTACTCCCGGCCCTTGTTCGGGTTCTGTCGGCTCCAGTGGCACACATGTGTCCTAATCGTCCCTCAGTCTCGCTCTTTCGCTCTTCATCGGTGAGTCATTGCTCAAATCTTACTCATCAGTCTGGCTCAGGTTAGCGTTCAATCGGTTCCACTTATTAACTGGCTATGCCTCGCGGTTTCACCACTCAGAATCTGATAAACTAGGTTATATCCCTATATACACTCCTGTTTTAGGATATAGGATTCCTGATTAACTAATTAACATAAGAATTACTTCTTTTCTTCTTTTGTTAGGAATTTGTTGCAATTTATTCAGTGTTTGGCAATAAAAAGTTCATGAAGGTCCTGGTGAAGATCCTTTGACAGTTTGAAGTATTGATTGGAATTCCCACATGCTGAATGGAATGTTATAATCTTATCAATAATTATTACATTATCGTCAGAGAAGTTTAGATCTTGAGAGTAATATTCAGCAAATGTTCATCCAACAATTTCTGGATTATCGTAGTTTTCCATCGCTTTCCAGAGTATATTTGTAGGAAGAATTGGTTCTTCTTATCTTACTTACGTTGTTCCATAAAACATTGCAGGGAGTAGACGAGTTAATGGACTCAACAAATGATTTCCATGATTCTTTTTTCTTGTCATTTATAATTCTTCTGCAAACAGCTCTTTGTTTTTTATATTCAATGTGATTAGCCTGATTCATATTTCTTTTTAAATTTCTTAAATGCATTTCTCCGAAGTTGTATGGCTTTCTTGCAATCACTATCGAACCAGGGGACAGGTGTCCTTTTGTAATGGCCTTTGGTTTTAGGGATTGAGAACTCTGCTGCTGTATATATTGCCTTAGTTATAGATTTACACCCATTATTTAGGTTATTCATATTTCTTTGTGAGATTTTTTAATATTTAATCTATATCTAATTATTTCAAAAACCTTTTTTAATCTCACAGTATTTTACTTTTACATTTATACAAACATTTAAAAATTATTATTTTTTAACGCTTCGTCTCCAAGAGACATTTAAAAAAAAAAAATTGTCTTTGAAAATGAATTTTTGAAAATGGCTCTTGGAACCTAAACGTTTAAAAGTAACAATTTTTAAATGTTTGTAAAAATGTAAAAGTAAAATATTGCGAGATTACAAAAGAATTTTGAGAAATAAATAATCAGATATAGATTAAATATAATAATTATTAAAAAATCTCACAAATAAATATGAATAACCTAAGTAAGGCTGTTTATCATATATAAGAAATTTAAGTAAAAAAAAATGAAGTAAAATGACATAAAGCATCTCCAATAAGCTTAAAATGATTAATATTCTCATATATACAGTAACTCTGCTGAATGTATAAAAAGGTCGTTCTCCGATTTGGTGGAGCTTTTGTTATCAATTTTCGTCTTGATTAATTCCTTCGTTTGATGTAATAACTTCCATATTCCTGAAGGCGTGTTATAGCCCGCGGTAGATAAACATTTTTATTAAATTATTGTCATCTATCTGAAACTTCATAAATGGCTTTAAGATAATCTTATCGAAACTAGCAAGTTTTTTATATACCAAAATTATCAGAAAACGGGACGTTTTCTTTAATTAATTAATTTAAAAAAGTACTAAAAATTCAAGAATACCCATGTGCTTTGCCCCTAAATCATAAAATAATTCTATCATAAAATCGAAGAATAATATGCCTTACAAAAATATTGGACCGTTTGGCCTATACGACTTCATTAATTTGATTGAAGATGGAGGTCACGCGTCATTTATAAGAATTTTCAAAAATAAAAAAGCTGCATGTTACGATAAGATGAAGTTTTAGGCAGACGTTAATAATTTGATAAGAAGTGGTCTATGAGTCTATGGGTCTATGAGTCTATGGTCTATGAGTAGCGTGGACTATGAAGATTTCAACAGTGTTACAGAGCTCTGCATCTCAGCGAGGAACAATCTGCATAGAAATCTCCGGAATTCTCCGCATTAAACATACAGTCTTGACAATATTCGCCCATAAATCTGCTTCATCAATGTCCTTGTTCTAGTTTCCATTTCACCTAATCATCTCATATATGTGTAAATTAAAAATTGCCTTTTCCTACCAGTCCATCTCGGATACATAAGGAAGGAGATCCAACGTTCTTTAAAGACAATAGAGAATATTTTTATCTGTACCACGAGGAAATGCTATACTAAAATCCAACTACTTTCCAAAGAATTGTCCTTAATGTGCTTTAAGGAGAAGTACGAAATCAAGAATATTGTTCATTTATTTCTTAACAGACTCAGATTTTTACTTCTAATAGAAACTTATCTTTGGTGAAAAAAAAAAAAAAAACAGGAATATACCTACCCATATGTTAATATATTGCCTTTAATTTAACTTACTTAATTACTAAATTACTTCTCAAGATATCCTATTCGATAATAGCAATCGTTAACTGTGCCTTTGGTTGGAGATAATGCTTGTAGTTTATGGATGACTATAAATATTATTAGGAAACAGTAGAGAGTAAACGTACTTTTATATGATATAGTTTCAAATAGTTTATAATTTTTATTACCCGAAGGACTCTGAATCAAATGAAATGTCACATTTTACATTATAGACAGATTACAATCGATTTTTTTTTTAAATCTTGATTCTTAAATTTAGCAAAGCTATTAGAAGAATTAAATGCGAACGTCGACGTTTTGGAAAGATTAATACCCACAGAACAGTAATGAGCAAATTTCAAAATCGTCCAAGGGCTAACTTGAAAAATGTGAAACAAAATTTCAAACATATACATGAACTATGACTAAGGCTCTGATTGCAAAAACCTGACATAAGGCGAAACCCACTAATAACAGCCTACAACCAAATAAGATACCATTAGTGTGATCAACCAACTTAAGTAATAGACATAAACCACTCCAGACAACGAAATTAATGTCCGACTTTCTGTAATCAAAAACATTCCTAAGAATATGAATGAAGTTTTAAATTGAGACTAAATTTTCTTGCTGAAACGGTTTTTTTTTTTTTTTTTTTTTTTTTTTTTTAATAGAAGAGGAAATATGTTCACAGAAAAATACGAAAGAAATTGAGCAATACATGAAATGATAAACATGATGTTGGGAATGGATTTTTAAAGTGCCGGCCAAAGAGCCTGGTAAGTTCGGCAATTTCTCCGGAGTGCCTAGCTTGATGGGAGCGCCTGCTACATGTTATGAGAAAACATAATATCAACCTATCAACAAAGTGACTAAATTAGAAACATATTGAATTAAATAAAATTGGAATATTACTTCATAAAATAGTTTAAGAAATAATTTATTTTTATATATTAGGTTGACTTTATATGTTATTATAAAAATACAGAGAAGCACGCTTTAATTTAGTCTCAATTTTATTTTATCATTACAAGAATGAATTGTGAGCATTGGTCCATATTCATCTATTTCTAACCATTATAGATCCACTTGAATGCAGTTGTCCTTTCAATTTTTTTTTCTTTTCAATCATTCATTCATTGTAAAACTGGTTATTAAAAATATATTATTGGAAGAGAGAAGAACTAATCTATCCTATAATGCTCTAGTTGCGACCCGTTAAGGATGGAAAAGATCCTCTCTCCTCCAACAATACATTTTTAATAAACAGTACAACAAGAATGATCGACAAGAAAAAAAAACTAAGGTATGTGCTTTAGACAACACGATAGAACTCAAAACATCAACAAGGTGAGATTAATAATATGAAATATAAATTATAAATAATAGATCATAACAGCGAGGGTGAAATACTGAACAATTCCTTTGCTTACAGTATGCAGGCCCGATTTTTAGTTTCTGAGATATTTTAATCCACATGTAAAAACATTTCAATTACTCGACTCTAGCCGACTTTATCCGAGCGTTAAACTTCGAAAATTTGACGGATCAATTTAATTCACTCTCCACAAAAAAGTGCGAAACGCCCCTAAAGAAGTTTGTACTTCAAAAAATTGGAAGAACAACGACATCCAAGTGGATAGATACAGATTAGGAGTAAATAAATATGGTGCAATCCACATTAAAGTTCCTTGTAACGAGAAAATAAAATTAAGACTGAATTAAAGGGTATTTTATTATACGTCATTAATTGTTTTTTTGGAAGGGGCCAGGAGGTCCAAATGTCTAAGGCCAGCACTAGATTTTTATAAGATGAAAAGAAAGCAGGTTTATGCTAGGAGCTTTCTGACAGGGTGGTCATAGAGTTATCTATTTGGGAATAATTAATCATTGCGTAATAAATTGTAAGTGCTTTTCATTGTTCAAAGGTACCATTTAAATACTTCTTGTTCAAGAAGCTTCGCACATTTTTTTTTTTAATTTATCTTCGATTCGTTCCAGCAATGCCTCAGATAATTAATAAAGAACTCAGTTATGCAGCCAAGCGGCTGGAGGCGGTTAGAGATTAGAAAACCAACCCTCTATCTAAAACCGACTTTCGGTGCATTCATCCGGCTCACCATTTAATAGAAGATAAAAGTTTTTTTTTTTTTTTATTGTACTCGTGGTTCCTAGGGTAACATTCTATTACCGTGTTTTTCCATCACGACAATAGGTATGTAACAGATTACCACATCCGGCAAAGATATAACAGTATCGCAGACATGTTATGTATACTTTCACGAATCCTTAGAATTGTGCAATAAGAATAAGTTAAACACTACAAAGAATGTGAGATAGGCAAGGTGCAGTCTTTGCTCGTAATAATGAAACTGTTATGGTCAATAATTGTTGGTAGATACCGTTAAAATAAATGACACTGAATTGGCAAGAGTAGTAAGGGAGTTAGTTATACTGTGAACTCATTACGTTCACTTATTCCTAATGAAAGAAATTGTTAGATAGATATGTTAACCCCAGATATATCCTAAAATATTTATTTCCCAATCATCATTCACAATGTTAAATGAATAATATTATGTAAAATATTGATAACACTCGTATGCATAATTTTTGTGACATACCATCCAAGTTTGGGATAATTAACTGTTAGTATCCATCCAGCCCTTTTATGTCTCAGGATTACACTAAGAATGATAACGAGTATCACAAATAA